AGGAGCAACAGCACCTTGTTTATACCCACATAAATCCTTAAAATAGCATCACGATTGTAGTCACGATTGCTTGCTAAATTCACGTTTCCGGCGATTGCTTTTTGTCCTACATTGAGAATTGGTCCAAATTTAATTTACACAGAGAAATTTATTACTCAATTCAAAACAACAGAAAAAAAAAATGATAGGTCACCATACTTGATTGCGAGAAAATGACGATTTACCTCTATGGCGAGGTCCAGCTGTAAACAAATAAGCCGCCATTTTTTAATGCGCGCGCGCTAATCACGCGTGAAATTATGCGCAGTAGGGATGCGCAATGCAATACTGGGGAATGACCTTAACTAACGCGGGAAAGTTTCGGCTGCATATGAACTTTTTGCCTTCTTTCACAGAGGAGGAAACAAACAAGCTGCTAAGGAGAAGCAATATCTTTCCATTCTTTTATTTGAGCCCTGGCAAATACACAACAGTTCTAAATCAGCAGACGAAATTTCTTGAATTGAGCTAGTGTTGATTCCAGAAGATACGCACAGTCAGAGTAGCGTTCTTTGCATTAAAAAAGGAGAGCTGACGTTACCTGAAATATATAGCTGCTATATCCGGTCAAAACGAGAGTGTGGTATCACTCAACAACAAAAAAAAAGTGCGGAACGAAATTTATCAAACTAGCAAAGCTAGAACGCATGCGTCTTACATGTTGTGCTCCACCACAAGGAAAAGCACTCAACGTTCGTGTGAAATCCCGTGTGAAATGTATCTGCTACCTATCATATAGTCGACACTGACGTTACCTAATCTGCGCATGCATTTTGAGCAAATTACTTTTGTTCTTAAGAGAATAGCACCACAAGGATAGCAAGAGATTTTCGAAAATATATCTAGTATTGTCATGTAATGTAAAGAGCAACGTAATTATGCCCCGTTTTGCGTAGTCCACACGGGTACCTACCCACCCAGCCCCCAGCCCCCCTGCCCGCAAGACTAACTGATTATTTGAAATTAGCTAATTGAACTAACAATAAAGTTTACACCTTATTACCTTGATGAAATATAACTTTAGCGGACGTCAACCCCCAAACCATCCCAATAGTGCACTCTACACTAATAAACGAAGGACTTCTTCAATAGCTTCGTTCACCGAACAAGATGATGCGACACCCGCGTTTTATTTGAAAAACAGTCGGGGATCACGTGATGCGTAAGCAACCAATTGGGTAGCAGCATTCATACTTGAATGCCACAAGAGCTTGAATAATAGTTTGCATACAGGCGTTATATTTTTCGCGCTCTTCTCCTCGCGTGCGCCTTGCACTTCGCGCGCGCCCCGCATTCGCCTCTGTTCGCCTAAAATAAGCAAAAAAATTACCCCTGTTCTGCAGGCTAGTAACTTACCAGCAAGCAAGCATTTCAAAAATGAAGTAACTGATCTAAACTTCAATGGACATTATGATTACTGGCATGACTTCTCATTTATTCGTTGTCTTCATCTACATTATTCTCTTTTTCGATTCTGTCATGAAAACTTTGATCATTTTCATTCCTGAAGCATCTTGTTATTTCTTCAATGGTTTTTCCTTTCGTCTCGGGAACCAGATAGAAGGTAAAAGCAAAGAAAAAGGCCAGCAATGCCATGAAAACCAGGAAAGTGTAAGGATATAACGTTTCCTAAATGAAATAACAAAGATGGTCCTGTTAAAAGCACGTCTACATGTATCTTTAATATATAGATTTAGGCCAGCCTAAAAGCGTAGCTCCTGGGCCGAGTTGTTCAGAGCCGATTAAGCTAACCCATGAAAAGGTAGAATTTTGATTTCGTGTAACTTTGCGGTGAGGTTTTCTGTATATTGCTTGGCCTTCGGTTTTGAGCTTTAATAATCACCATATACACAAAACAAAGCAGCAAAACAACATTTGTATAGAAGAAAAAGTTATAATTCGGTTACCTTTTAACCCTGGGTTAGCGTTAACCGGCTTCCGAACAATCCTGCCCTGTTTTCAACAAGTTAACTGGATATGAGCCCGCAATCTAATCGAAAGCCAGCACTTGGTCAGCAGTCAACTTCAAAAAAACAGGTGTCCTCAATGGGCTGTAAACTTGAGCACGCGATATGGTTAGGTGCATTGGTCAGGGGATACTTTGTTTTGACAGGTGTCATGCAATTGATCATAACATGGATGTCCAATATCAAAAAGGTACATGGTAAACCAAGGCTGCATGTCTCTGTCCTCCTATTATTTGGAGTATGGCCGCTAGTCATGATAACCATGAGAAAATTAACACATGGGTTTCCTTTTCTTTCCTATATGGGTATGGGGCTCGGCTTGGCGGCCCTTCGGGCCGCCGGAGCTCCGCTATTACAGAGAGCAAATGCACAGAAAAATCGAGCAAAGCGTGGCCACAGTCAAAATTTAACTTACTTTTATTTCGAGTTTACAGAGAGGTATTTATTTGTTTTCAAAGGTTTTGGGGTTGATTTTTCTAACTACGGCCTACTTTCAGGAATACTTGGGAAAATAGATTTCGCGCTCTCTCTGGCCATAAAATGGCCGAATAAATTGGCAAAAAACAGCATTGCAAAAACGTCCTCGCGTTAACAGTTAAAATTATATCTTCGGGAATTAGAAACTAATGTTAAAAGAAGACGTTTTTGGCACTCTATGTTTGTCTGTTTTTTCGCTTGCAGATGATAGCTGTCATTACGCAAAAACATATCCTTTGATGAAGATTTGACAATAGCCGTTGCAAAGCAAGCTTAAGTCTATAATAGGCCACGTTCGATATATCAATACTCTAACATGGCTCCGAGGCTTTCGGGGTTTCTTTTGTCTCTCAATTCCCAAAAGAGACTTGGATACAAAGAAAACACCATCAAATATAGAAGATTGTCCTGAAAGCCTCGGAGCCATGTTAGAATATTGATATACCGAACGTGGCCTATTGCAAAAAAACTTCGTTATGTGGCCGAGCTCCAATGGAGCTCATTTTATGGCTACCAAGTGTCGAAATACTTCTCTTGCACGAGATATAAAAATTTGCTCGGGTTTTTCAGCGGGCGCTTTGAAAAACACCCCCAAAATCTGAGAATTTTTTCTGAAATTCCAACTAATTTGCATATTGTCACGGGAACAAAACAATGACACGTGAGCGAAAAGCGGTTTAATAAACTGTTGCTTCAGAAAACTCCGCTTCCAGTAGCAAAATATTGATTTTAAGGTTTTTTAATTCGGTTAATCTAATGCTGTGGTGGATGTGGTAACAGAGGAGTACATTATATAAAATTATAAGACAAATTTAAGTTAATCATTGAGACTCGGTCTATAAGGATCACCAGGTCATAGCATATACTTAATTACTGTACAGAATATTTCATGAACTATAATAAATCATCCCTTAAACCTGAAATGAACGCTCGTCTATGAAACCATTAATTGTATTAAGTTCCTGAATATACCCGTAAACCACTCCTCAACAACTATACGGCCAGTATCATGACCTTTTTATTCAGCCTACGTAACGCATGTCGGGATCAATGATTTACTATCACCATTTTTCCACTTGTAAAGTGTTTGTTAGCTGATGCACGAAAATGACATGCAATTCCTAAGAAAATTTTGAAATATTAACAAATAAATTATTTCAAGCGAGCCTTGATTATATCTTCACGGCCATGAATTCCATTTTGCAACTCTCACTCTCACAGGTGTTCGAAGACGTCGTTATGAGGTCTGATTTAGATGTCAATCGATCAATCAATCAATAAACTTTATTTAGAGCGGGTGACACATGACAGTATACACTGATAAACTAGTGGCCCTCTGCTGAAATCTACGAGGAATTATGGAATAACTAAGTACAGTACAAAGTATAAACAATAAAAAGTTACAATATGTAAAAACTTACAATAAAAAATTACAAATATATACATGTATATCCATAATTACAATGATTTAAAAGTTTCTAAAAATTCCCAACTATATATAATAAATGAAAGTTTAAATATTAAGTTTAAATATTAAGAGATTGTAAAATGGTCAATATTAGCGTATGACCCCACCTTAACGTACTCGACATATTTGCATTTAAAACAGTAAATGCTTCCGCTGGATCTTATTTTAAGGGGTAGAGAATTCCATAATAAAATTGATGATGTTAAAAAGGTTTTACTCCCGTCTGTTTTCCTGTTGTACTTGGGGCAGTTAGTGTTATGTGACCACAACGCGAGGATCTTACTGATGTGTCACTTACAAGAACTAACTTATTACATAGATATTCTGGGCATTGCCCGTTTAGACATTTAAAGATATCACACAGTTTGTTAACATTGATTTCATCATAAAAAGGCATCCAGTTCAGCTTCTTAANTCGAATTTTCGATCCTTGCCGAGTTATTTTCCATTTTTATGGACAGGGACTCTTAAATAAACTAACAGTTCGTTCTTCCTTAGTGTTTACATCTAGTATAGTCCTGGCAGCTTTCTTTTGTAATGGCAAAACTCGTCTAATGTTTGCTTTGGATGTCATACTCCAGACTGCTCCGCCATATAGGAACAAGGGTTTTATAGTTGCATTATATAAAAGTATGCGTTCATTGAAAGGTAGGTAATCCCTAATTGATCTCATGACGCCTATACGCTTAGCAAGTTTCTTACATAAATGTTCGACATGCTCGTTAAAAGAAATTCCGAGTCACCGTACACTTCAAGTAGCTTATGGCTCGTGGTAGTCTCCAGTATGTTTATGAAAGGTACTAAACATGGCAAAACCAGAAAACGGCAGAAGGCAATGCGCCTAAAAAATTTTTTTAAAATTTATCCAAAAAATAGCCTGTCAGTTGGGCGATGGCAAGCGAACTATTTTGGCGATTGTCTTAAGTTTGTGAACGGGTTTCCCGAAATATGTCTATAACTGAGCCCGTTTGCACTATACAGACATGGGTGCAGTTTTATCCATTAAAGTAATTTATTATATGGGTGGCACTAAAAACAATCAAAGTTTGCAGAGTCTTACGTAAAGCTAAAATCGCTAAGTGAAAAGCACCATCGCCAGATCTGTCATGCATCCTGAGCGGAACACCACGAAGAAACTTTTAAGTTATCATTTTAGACACAACAATTACCGAAATATTGAACTCCGTCACAGTTAGTTCTCATCAAATAGATTCTCTCGCTTTAACACAGGCAAGTGTAAATCAACTTCCAGGATCATCAGATGTAAACAATCGGGCGGTCACTGTCGGCAACAGTGTTTTTGATTTTTTTTTTTTTTTTTTTTT